CATCGATATATTCTTTCAAAACTGTGACATATATTTCTTCATCTTCGTTGGAAAGGAGTGAACTAATGAAGATAGGTTGAGGACTTTCAGGAGTTCCTAGATCCACCTCTTTTAGTTCGTCCACTGCGGCTTGTACCCCTTCTTCTAGCTCTTGAGGTGCATCTTCTGCATCTTCACCCTCGGTTGGAATCTCATCGTATAATGTTATATGAAATGATGATGCCATCTCATCTTGACTTGGTGTTGCCTCACAACTTGAATAAATATTTTCTTGACTTCTTTCTTGCACTTGGGTGTGTACAATGGTTCTTGGTTGGACCTTCAAAACTTCACCACACGAGACATGGATATTAACTTCTCTTCTCATGCGAGATGGAACGACACTCCTAAGCCTTTTTGAGGGTTCCATTTCAGTAGGAGGGTTGGTCTGCTCCTTCGAACTCTGAGTAGGCCCAATTCTGTCATGTACTGATTTTCTCTTAGCCGGTTTGGGATTCGGCCCAAGTCTGCGGAAGACTGATTGTCGTGATTCTACATCTCCGATTCTATCAAAAACAGACTGTTTCTTGTCACCATCCTCCTCATCTGTAGAAGTGATGCAATTACTTGTGGCTCTGTTTATGAATATTCGCACTAGCTTAGGGGGAACATAACCCAATCCTTTCCGTTCATGTGGCTCCTGCTGATGCCTTTACCACCAGCTTCTGGGATGAGTTTCCCCAGCTTTTGTGGCTCTTTGGGATCATATCCAGCTTTGAATAGAAGTTTATATGCATTAGGGTCGAAGCCGCCAGTGCGCTTAGCGGGCACTGTTTGACTTGCCCCAACTTGAGCTTCATCTTCAAGCGGTTTAACTGGAGCTGCTGCTTTTAATGTTTCAATCCTTGCGAGTGGGAAAACAAGTTCCTTGTCGCGATGAGCTTGGTCTACAACTTTCTTGCCTTTCTACTTTGGATCAAGAGGTGTGTCAACATTGCTTTGCTCAGCCTCCTCTACAACTTGTTTCTTCAAGTAAAACTTTGCATCTGCAAAGTATGATTCTGCTTCAATGAAGGGAGTTTCATCAGCGACTACCTTTTCTATCACCCCGCCTTTTTCAAACATGAGGCATTGGTGCCAGGATGAGGGAATTACTCCATTCTCATGTATCCAAGGCCGGCCCAGCAGCAAGTTGTACGACGTCCTTGCATCTATTACATAACATAATGTGCTTGAGTTTAGTGTTCCGATCCTGAGGTCGAGTCTGATGGTACCCAGTGCTCTTTGTCCGCCTTGATTAAATCCTTGGATCATTAAGCGGCTTTGAGAGAGCTCATCGGTGGAGATGCCAAGTTCTTTCATAGCTCGGAGTGACAGAATGTTCACAGCCGACCCTTGATCAATCAAAATCCTTTTAATCTTTTGCTCACGAGCATAACCTTCAATAAACAACGGGCGATTATGTGGTGTACCACCAAGCAACAGATCCTCATCCTTAAAAGTTATCTCGGCGGTATAAGACGCGGCTTTGTGGACTTGAACCTCGTCACCTCCCTCAATCACGGGGAATGAACATTCCTCCTCTTCAACATGTCTCTCTTTAATACTCAAGCGAGTTCCAAGAATATTCGTCCCATGCGGAGGAAGCGTCTTCGGCATGTATTGAGCCAGGGCAACTGGTGTTCGAGACGTGCCGGGACGTCCTCTCATCTTTGTGCCATAGGCGAGGTCCCTTGCTGGCTTTCTCTCAACCCATTGCTTCGTTATTCTCTTCAAAGATCTAACATATCCAGCATTGTTCCTTTGTTTTTTTGCGGGTAACAATTACCCAATCCTTCTCGCATACCGGATTGACCTGTGGTAATTCCGGCTGTTGTCTAGTAGCATGTTTCACAATAAATGGAAGCGGGCGTTTGTATTGCTTGCCCCCATCCTCTTCATCACTCTCCTCAACTAACGGAGCGAACCTTCCGCATGAAATTTGGTTGGTGCTGGCAGTTGCATCGGCCAGCTCAATCTTTCCATCACGAGCAAGTCTCATCACCTTATCTTTAAAGACGAAGCATTTTTCAATCGAGTGTCCGAGGAGACGATGAAACTTGCAATAGTTGGGGTCGTCTACCTTAGAAGCTTCTTCGGGACGCTTCATCTCCGGTAATTCAATCAACTTAAGCTTTAACAATTCATCAAACATGGGTGACACATCAGAGTCCAAGAACGGATACTGTTTTTGCTGCATCTCTTCAATGATTCTAGTACCCCGAGATGGGCGGGAAAATGACCTTAGCCTGGGATTTTCAGTTACTTTGGCGAAAACCTGCATTGGTGTTGTTTTTACGTGCATGGCCTCTTTCTTTTCTGGTTTCGGGAAGGGCTTTCCCCCTTTCTTGAATTCTTGTTTTACAGGTGCCTTGGATGAGCTAGGGATACTTGACATGCCGAGCCCTCCATTGGCTTCAATACTCAATTCCATGTCGTGAGCACGACTGGATAGTTCTTCAAATGTTCTAGGCTTGATTCCTTGCAAGATATAAGAAAGCTCAAAGTGCATCCCTTGGATGCACATTTCAATTGCGGAGCTTTGTGATATCCTCTCTTTACAATTAAGGCACAATTCCCTCCATCTCTCGATGTAAGTGCCCGCACGCTCACCCTTCCATTGGTGGGTAGTGGTGAGTTCCAAGAAGCTGACAGTCCTCCTGGTGCTGTAGAAGCGGGTCAAAAACTCGCGCTCCATATCATTCCAGCTATCAATGCAACCATGCTCCAGGTCTGTGTACCAATCAAAGGCAGTGCCCTTCAGAGAGCAGACGAACTGCTTGACGAGGAGATCTCCGTATGTTCTTGCATCATTACAGGTTTCAACGAAGTGGGCGATGTGCTGCCTCGGGTTGCCTTTTCCATCAAACTGCTGGAACTTGGGAGGTTGATAGCCCAGCGACATTTTCATTTCTTCAATTCTTTGAGTATATGGCTTAGTGTAAGTATATGAAGATTGTCCTCCCTCGAGCTTCCCCTTGATCGCTCCCATGATGTACTCATTCAACTGCTCAACGGGTATCATGCCCTCAGAAATTGGGATACTCTTCTTGGCGGGTGGTGGACGGGAGATTGTCTCTTCCATTCCTGGCCTACTTTGATGGCGCGGGGACTCGACATCAATCTCATCTCCTTGGGTTTGAGGCTGCTTCCTGGAAGCCCGACTTGTTTCGCCATTCCTTCCGCTTTCAACCTTTTCGCTGAGCTCATTGATCCGCCTTTCTTGGTTATGCATGAGTGCAGCTATCCCCTCGAGATATTTAGTGATGTTTGCGAGTTGTTCCTCCACCGAAGCCGCGTTCGTTGTCATAGCGGGCATGATCGTGTATATGTGATTCCATTCTGGTGAGGTTCTCTGCAGAAGTGATGACTGTGATGAACTTCCACTGCTTGGAGTTTTATTCAAGGGAATAGGGCTCGCAGGACTCTTGTTACTTGGAGCTCCCTCACTTGTAGGATTCTGGTCAGCAACAGTTTCCTTTGTAGAGGATGATCCTTTGTCATGTGCAGCTCTTCGTGACATAGTGGAGTTTCTGTCAATCCTTCGGACGATGTGGCGAGCAATGTCCTGGGCCTCGTGGAGTTGCACCCCTAGGTTCCTCACTCGGCTTCGAGTCATTGCTCCTCCCGCGCCTTGGCTATCACCGGAACCGGCCGCTGATGGTGCCCTGGAGCGGGTAGCCTGAGCATATGTCATCTTGGAGGAGGGATTTCTTGACGCCATTTAGATTCCTTCCTTGTAGAGCTCGCGAATCAACAGTGAAGAGATGAGAGGCAGAGTGGTCCCACTGGGTGTGCCAAAATCTGTAAACACAAAAAATAAACTTTGTATATATTCACAAAATTCCGTGTACAGCGTGTGTATAATTCAATGCAGGTACAAAATCTCTGTCTAGTCCTCTGATTCTTCACTAACGTTATCTATGGAAGTGCCTCCGGGATTCAATTAGCGTAGCCTCCGGGATTCAATTGGCGCGTGCCTCCGGGATTCAAGTGGCGTAGCTTCCGGGATTTAAGTGGCGTAACTTCCAACGACGAGCGTCAAGAATTTAGAAATAATCAACCCTGCAAAGTTTCAAAACACATGCAATGGATTCAAGCTGCTTTAAGATCCTCAAATGCCTTCAAAAGACTTCAATATCTTCGAGACAATCAATTCTGCAAAGCTCTAAAGTACCTGCAATGGATTCAAATTGCCTGCAAAATCAACAAAAATGCCTTCAACTTCAAGCGTTCTTCAATGCCTTCGGGCTCTTCAAATGCTCTCAACTCCTTATGCCTTCAAGTTCTTCCAGCTTTCAAGTGTATTTTAGAATGAAATGAGGCTCTATTTATACCAAAAGCTTAACCAAAATTCCTCAACCAACTCCCCTTTTTAGTTAACTAATTAATTAATTAACTAATTAGGAAAATGAACCTTGCCCAAGATCAAGTCCAGGTTCATTATTGTATAATCTAATTCAAATTCAAATTAAATTATAATTATCTAATTCAAATATAATAAAATTAATATTATATTTAAATTATAATTATAATTGAAATTCAAATATGAAATGGATTTGGGCCAAGTTAATTAATTAATTCAATAGCCCAAATCAAATTCTAATTGGGCTAATTAAATTAAATTAAATTGACTTCTATGATCCAATTAATTATATCAGCCCAATCATCAATCTCGACGTCGGCCCAATAACAATTTTATCCGTCTATTTATCGGGTACAATTTTTCTGTGTCTACAGTCACCACTCACGTTTTGTTTTTTTTTTTTGAAAGGACCACTAACCTGCTTAGTCGTCTAGGTAGTAGAGACTCACGTTTTGTTTTTTTTTTTGAAAGGACCACTAACCTGCTTAGTCGTCTAGCTACTACTCTACTACACCCATTTTACAAGCTCTAAAAATCTTTTGAAATATATAGCTAGGCAAGCTGCTAGCAAAAGCAAAAACAGAAGTAAAGATAGTGTTCTCAATTTCAAGCTACTATGGCTTCTTCATCATCATCATCATCACCATCGCATTCTCATTTGAGGTATGCTGTGTTCTTGAACTTTAATGGAGAGACACGAAGATCATTTACCGATCATCTCTACCCAAACTTGTGTGAAGCTGGAGTTAGAACCTTTCGAGATGATGAAGAGATCCAGAGAGGCAATAACATTTCCGATGAGTTGTTGCAGGCCATTGAGGGATCTAAGATATCCATTGTTGTATTCTCCAAAAATTATGCCAATTCCAAATGGTGTCTTAACGAGCTGGTGAAAATTGTGGAATGTAAAAAGAAATTGGGACAAAAGATTCTTCCCATATTCTATCATGTTACTCCTTCAGAGGTACGCAATCAGACAGACGAGTTTGGCGAGGCACTGGACCAACACAAAGAGAGATATGGAGAACTAAAAGTTAATGAGTGGAAAACTGCACTCACTACAGTTGCTAATTTGTCAGGATACGATTCAGAAATCATGACAAACAGGTAATATAATTTTTGCTCGTGTAAATTTAAGAGAAAAGGGTCAAATAGGCCTTTAAACTTTCTTCAAAAGGGCAATTAGGCCTTTGAACTTTAAAAAAGGAACAATTAAACACTTAAACTTGTTATTTTGGGCATCTAAACTCAATAGCCGGTTATTTACCTGAAATAACACGTCATTTAAAATTCCGGCGATATTTCGGCGAAAAAATAAAATTTCCGGCAATAATTTTTTTTAAAAGCCTTTTACCGGAGAAGACGACCAACACCCCTGGTCGTCCTCTCCATTAGAGAAGACGACGTCCGGTCGTCTTCTCCTGGAGGAGAAGACCAGAGGTCGTCTTCTCCAATGGAGAAGGCTACCAGATCTGGTCACCTTCTCCATTGGAGAAGACGACCTCTGGTCTTCTCCTCCAGGAGAAGACGACCGGACTGGTCGTCTTCTCCAGGAGAAGACGGCAGGACAGTCTTCTCCCATGGAGAAGACGACCGGAAATTGCTCCGGTGTGTGTGTGTGTGTGTTTTTTTTTTTTTTTTTTTTTTTTTTTTTTTTTTTTTTTTTTTAGCGGCGGTTAAAGACAAAAATTTAATCTATTGGTTACTGGTAAATTGGGCTTATTTGACTCAAAATGACAAGTTTAAGTGTTTAATTGTCCCTTTTTAAAGTTTAGGGGCCTAATTGTCATTTTGAGTTAAGTTTAAGGGTCTATTTGACCATTTTCTCTAAATTTAATTAGATTTTTTTTATGTGATTGTATGTTATATTTGTCACAATTTGCACTGTTAATTATATAGGCAATAGTGTGGGGGCCCTTAGGGTTGGGGTTCAGCCTTTTGGAAGAATAGTATTATATTATTATAGTACTTTTGCTAATTAAATTTTGTTTTCTAGCATTTATACATGATGAATTCATATTTGTCGATCCGTAAACCAAGAAGAATCTACCTCAATCTTCTAATTAATTTTAAATTGATTTGCCATAATTGTTTATATATGTATGTGTGTTTGTATATGTAAAGAGAAGAAAAAGGAGGAGAAGAAGAACACCAAGTTATAGTATAACCATCATGTAAGTGTGTCCCTTTCATTCATCTTCACTCACTTTATATAGTGGTCATATACAACCTTTCAAGTACACAACATCAATACATGATTAAATGATAAGCAAGTGAAAGGTCTAAATAGTTTAATGGCCATAAATATAAATATTTACAACACTCCCCCTTGGCCATTAAATAATTATACTCATGCCTCGTTAAAAACCTCGCTAGAAAAACCCTATGGGAAAAACCTAGTCGAGGAAATGAGTACATGTAGTATCAATCATGTGTTGCATCGGTTGCCTCGTTAAAAACCTTAGCCTAAGAAAAACCCAGTGGGAAAAAAAACTTAGCTAAGGGAAAAAGAGTACAACCATAAGCCTTCTGGGCATCATCTTCAGGATTTAAAAGTCTCCTAGATCGAGTTTATCGCTCCCCCTGAAGACAACAGTCTTCCTAGACTCCGCATCCCAATTTTATAAACATACTTCTCAAAAGTGGATGTAGGCAGGGACTTAGTGAACAAATCTGCCAGATTTTCACTAGAGCGAACCTTTTCAATGAGTATTTCACCACTCTTCTAGAGTTCATGTGGGTAAAAGAACTTAGGAGCAATATGTTTAGTAAGACCTCCTTTAACGTACCCATTACTCATCTGTGCAACACATGCCGCATTGTCCTCATATAGGACAGTCGGGGAATCAACATTGCTCATTGTTCCGCATGAGCGATGAATATGCTGTATCAGTGATCTCAACCATACGCATTCACGTGCAGTTTCATATAAAGCAATTATCTCCGAGTGATTAGATGAGGTAGCAACTAAGGTCTGTTTAATGAACCTCCAAGATATAGCTGTACCTCCACAAAGAAAAACATAACCAGTTTGCGATTTAGCAGTATGAGGGTCAGACATATAACCAGCGTCTGAATACCCTTTCAAAGTAATGTCCTGGTTGTTTTCAAAATAAAGACCAAGGTCTTTTGTCCCTTGGAGATATCTAAAGATATGCTTTATTCCACTCCAATGTCTTCTGGTTGGAGAGGCACTAAATCTAGCAAGTAAATTCACTGAAAAGGCAATATCAGGTCTTGTGCAATTAGCCAGGTAAAGCAAAGCTCCTATAGCACTTAGGTAAGGAAGTCCAGGTCCTAGTACCTCCTCATTATCCTCCTTAGGTCTAAATGGGTCCTTTTCCGCTTCAAGGGACCGGACTACCATTGGGGTGCTAAGGGGATGAGATTTATCCATATAGAATTTCTCCAATAATTTATTAATGTAGTTAGCTTGGTGAATGAAAATTCCATTTGGAAGATGCTCGATCTGCAGGCCGAGGCAGAACTTGGTTTTTCCCAAGTCTTTCATTTCGAATTCTGCTTTTAAGCATGAACATGCTTCTATAAGGTCTTCCTTTGTCCCAATAATGTTCATGTCATCGACATAGACAGATATAATGCAGAAGCCATTAGATGACTTCTTAATGAATATAGAAGGGCAAATATCATTTTTAACGTATCCCTTCTTCAAGAGGAATTCACTCAAATGGTTATACCACATTCTATCAGATTGCTTCAAGCCATATAATGACCTTTGAAGTTTGATGCTATACATGTTTCGATCTTTATCCCTCATATTGGAATTTTGAATACCCTCGGGTATTTTCATGTATATATCAGCATCTAGTGACCCATAAAGGCAAGCTGTCACTACATCCATCAACTGCATATCTAATTTCATACTTATTGCCAATGATATTAAATAGCGGAATGAGATGCCATCAATAATAGGAGAGTATGTTTGATCAAAATCAATTCCGGGTCTCTGCGTGAACCCCTGAGCTACCAATCTCGCTTTATATCTAACCACCTCATTGTTTTCATTCCTCTTCCGTACGAATACCCACCTGGATCCTACTGGGATCACATCTTTTGGGGTAAGTACGGTTGGACCAAAAACTTTCCTTTGATTAAGCGAGTTGAGCTCTGCCTCAATTGCCTGTTTCCATTTCAACCAGTCAGAGCGCTTCCGGCACTCGGTTATTGACTTTGGTTCTAGATCCAGATTATTTTGTGGAATATTACAGGCAACTGCATAGGCAAAAGTGTCGTCGACGACTATTAAATCTCTATTATATGTTTCTCCTGTATCAACAAAATTTATGGCCGTTTCTATATTGACATCAACCAGATCATCGTCATTTCCCAAAATATTTTGATCTGGATGTTCCGCATCCCCAGTGTTCGTATTATTTAGAGCACGTGCAGGTTCACTGGGTTCTCCGTCTTCGGGACGGTCGTCTTCAGGACGGTTAACATTTTTCTGGAGTGACTGATATATTTTACCAATTCTCGTCTTCTGCGGATTTAAATCTTTTGCACCAACTGGTCTCCCGCGCTTCTGGCGATGGGGAGTGTCAGTGTGCATACTTGGTCCCACGGGGATTTCAACTCTCGAAGGAGCATTCACAGCAGGGATATGAGACCTACTCACTCCTCTGTTATCAGTAAAAGCATCTGGCAGGTTATTTGCTAAATTTTGCAAATTAATAATTTTCTGAACTTCTAGTTCAGTTTGACTAGTACGTGGGTCTAGATACTGAAGATCCTTTTCATCCCATGAGATTTCTCGGCATTTCGTTAAATAAGGTCTTTTATCTCCCCCTAATGCCGGGAAATGATCTTCATCAAAAATGCAGTCAGCGTACCTCGCGGTAAACTGATCTCCTGTCATGGGCTCTAGGTATTTAATGATGGAGGGAGATTCATAACCAACATATATACCTAGTTTTCGCTGCGGGCCCATGGAGGTACGATTTGTAGGTGGTATGGGGGTATAAACTGCACACCCAAATACACGCAGATGGGAAATGTTAGGTTCTACACCACGTAGTAGTTGCAAAGGGGAATAATCATGATATGCACTAGGTCGAATTTGAATTAAAGCCGCAGCATGTAATACTGCGTGTCCCCAACATGAGACTGGTAAACCAGACTTCTGCAGTAATGGTCTAGCGATTAATTTAATACGCTTAATCAGGGACTCGGCCAGACCATTCTGAGTATGGACATAAGGTACAGGATGCTCCACTTTGATGCCCAAGGCCATACAATAATCATTGAAAGCCGTTGATGTGAATTCTCCAGCATTATCCATTCTTACTGATTTAATGGGATAATCTGGGAATTGGGCATTCAACTCAATAATTTTCGCAACAAATTTAGCGAAAGCTTTGTTCCTCGTGGACAGTAGACTAACATGAGTCCAACGAGTGGAAGCATCAATAAGGACCATAAAATATCTAAATGGTCCAGAAGGTGGACTAATAGGTCCACAAATGTCGCCCTGCAATCTCTGCAGAAATATAGGCGATTCTTGTCCAACCTTAGTACGCGACGGGCGTACAATATATTTACCTTTAGCACAAGCCACACATGTAAACATGTTTGGCGAAAGTACCTGGGATCTCGAAAGGTTATGTCCAGCAGAATTAGATATGATCCGACCCATCATATTTTGCCCAGGATGACCCAAACGGTCATGCCACATTTGAAAAGAATGTGGATTTTTGAGTTTCATGGTTAGTGCAACAAATGAATCATTGGGTTGTATATAGGTATAATATAACCCAGAGGATAAAGAGGCAAGTTCCTCAACCTCCCGCTTTTGACCAGTGATCAACTGAATCATGATCAAGAACTCCTCTTTGTTCTTAGTCTTGGTTTCAATATGAAAACCATTTGAACGAATATCCTTGAAACTCAGCAAGGTTCGTTTAGATTGAGGGTACAACAAAGCATTTTCAATTAGTAGCTTTGTACCCTTAGGGAGGATGATGGATGCTCTTCCGGAGCCCACTATTTGTACTTGATCATTAGAAATGGTAGTAATATTACTACTTGATTTGTTTAAGGTACGAAAAAACCTCATATTCGTTAGGATAGTATGCGTGGTTGCACTATCCACCA